CCTGCATCACCACCCTTGGCAGGCATCGCCTCACACCACTCCCACATGCTTTAACAGGACACCGCCTCATGCATGCAGCTCCCCCCACAGCTGCAGCCTCCTTCCGGCCTCTCTTGCTGGGCTTTCCAGATCCAGCATGTACTTGAAATTCAGGCCTTGCGGTCTAGCGGTGCTCTCACGCTAATAAGATCTCTGAGGGCAAAGTGTCACATTGATTTTTCTTCCAGTCAACTGTGAGCTGCTGAATTCTATCATTTCCAGTCTCCCTTGTGAAACCCTGACACCAGCTAGAACTGTACACTGTGAGCTGAGGCTTGGGTGCTGGGGATACCTGCAGTGCCTATGTTGTCCATCCCACTGCCAGGGAGCTAATGAGGTGGGCACACCGTGCCTGGACCCACTGTGCATGCCCTACCTGCCCAGCCATGCACCAGGCTCCCAGACTCCCCACCTTTTAGTAACCAGGGATGGAGGTGATTTCACAGTTTGTGCCAATGGTTTGTAAAAAGGCAGGACATGCATCTTCCAAATGCACAGCCAGAGAGCACTCACCCATCAGCTGCCAGAACACAATTCACATGAAGCATGAGACATTCCAGGAGCTGAAGAACAAGGAACACAACCATAGACTAGTCCAAGCCAGCTAGGCATCACCAAAGACCATCAGGAAGCATCCTCTGCAGTTCCACATCTCCACCCCGCTGTGCTCACTGCGATTATTCCTGCCTCCCTTTACAGGGAACCACATACGTGCTAGACAAGGTCACAGGCCACCTCTCTGGCGTCTGAGGCACAGGAAACCAAAACATCCAGGGGAGGCCAGGCTAACAGCACTGGCGAGAAATCACACCCTCAATTTATGCCAAATAACAGACCCTCACACCCACATGCACAGATGTGGCCCTCAGGAAACCTCAGAAGCTGTCACTTCCTCCACTTCTTCATCTCCCTTCCTCCCTTCTCACTCCCACATCCCAGTCCTATCACGAGGAATGGGGTGGAGTCAGCCTGGGATGGAACAGGAAGGATGAGCCTAAGCCAGGAGCTCAAAAACCCTCACAGGCAAAGGCTGCCCTTTTCTGCCCTGCACATAGGCAAGGACTCGCACAAGAAAACAAGGAATGTGTTTTAGAACCAAAGGGCTGGAATCCCTGGGATGAGGGAAATCCAACGTGTAAACCCTCTCTTGTAAGTGGCTCCTGTCCTCTTCCACATGTTGCTTTGCCATCCTCCTTGCTGTGGAGTTCCTGATCCTCCAGGTGCTTAAAAATTGTTTTCCTTTTGCCCATGGGAAGAAAACCACTCTTCTTGTCTCTATTCAAGCACGGCCACGCTGTCTCGCATCTTGCTAAGTTATGTGATCCACACCACAGACAGCGGAAGCTGAAACTACCACTATGGTCTCTCTTATCATCCAAACGAAGAGCATCTGGGGCCCCTTGGTCCCAGCACAGGCCTTTCTACTGCTAACTCTCTTTAAGATTAGTCAGTGGATGCCCAACAACCCTGGTCAGAAATTATGACCTCAAGGATAGAGGGTGTAGGTCAGTGATAGAACATATGCCTAGCAAGTATGAGGCCCTGGGTTCAGTCCCCAGTACCAAAAGAGAAAAAAAAAATGTTTGCCCCAGGCAACCGGAAAGCTCCCCCAGTGTCACACTCGGGACTTTCTCTCCAAGCTTAAGTGTGGTTCATCCTCCCATGCACAAGGCCAGGTTGAGGAAATCGAAAGCTGCTCAGAGTTTGCAGCTAGACTCTGACAACAGTCACAAGACGGTACTGTTTCCCCAGGTTGTGGTAGTGACACTGATCTCTGAAACCTGTCTTCTTAAGACTTCAAGACTTCCTACTTCATAGTCTGTCTGGCTCTCTCCCCTGGCTTCAGGAGAAACTATTCCCATCTGACCAGGCCTCTTACAGGACATACCCCTAAGTCAGCGTTCTCTAAAAGACAACCGACACTTCATAGCAAAGGGTGAGCTAACAGAACTACGGAAGGTTAGTTAAAAATCAAGCAATCTCTCCAAGGACTCCAAACTGGCTTTTTTCAAACACTCCACTTCAGTGAACCCACACTCCAGCCCCTTATGGAAAAGCTGCGTCCTCTTGTTCAAAGGGAAAGCTGTGTTAGTCAGCTTTCCTGTTGTTGTGCCAAACTACCTGGAAAAAAAAAAAAATCTTAAGGAAGAAAAGATGAATTCTGGCCCGTGGTTTCAGAGGTTTCACTCCCTGGTCACTTGGCTCCATTGTTTCGGGGAGGACTTGGTGGGGCAAAACTGCCCTCCTCACAGCAGCCAGGAAGCATACAGAAGGAGAAGAAGGGGCCAGGGACAAAAGACACCCTTCAAAGGTACACCACAAGGGACCAACTGTCTGCGTTAGTTAGCTTTGTGTTGCTGTGACAAATACCTGAGAAAAACAGTTTAAAGAGGAAAAGGCTTCTCTTGGCTCAGGTTTTCAGAGGTCTAGGTCTGTGGCCAGCCAATTCCATTGCTTTTAGCTCTATAATGAGACCAAAGCATAATGGCAGAAGGGTGTGGCAGAGGAAAGCTACTCACCTCATGACAGCTGGGAAGCAGAAAGAGAACAAGAGAGCCAGAGACAAAGGGGGTGGCAATGGGTACACCTTTCAAAGTCGTGTCCCAGTAACCCACTTCCTTCAACTGGGCTCCATCTCCTGATAGCCCACCTAGCCATGAACTCATCCATGGATCCATCTATTGATGACATCAGCACCCTGATGAGCCAATCATCTCTCCAGGCCTCACCTCTGAACGCTGATGCATTGACACCGAGCCTTCAACATATTAGCCTCTTAGGGCACATTATAGATTCAAACCACATACTGAGGACAGGTTTCCAGCTGATGCTTTTGTCAGGGAGCAGTCTGACACCTCACTTTTCAGGGTGGGAGAGGAGGCAGAAGGGCCAATACATGCAGGTACACAAGCTAAGCTGCCTCTTCCAGAAGGGCCTCCCTGTGCCTCAAAGTGAATGAGGCTGGAGCCACGGATCACCTCCTGTAGACCAGCCTATGTGGGTGTCACAAGATGGTCACTCACCATCTGCAAGAAAAAACTGTCCCAATGATGGCACTCTGCTCACCAGGCACACCCTCACGCTAAAGGCACTTACCCCATTAGGTCACTCCATTTTCCATGTCTCTTGGTGTCACTGAACCACTCTGAGGGAGTCCTTCCAGCCCTACCCCCAAGACAACTCTTCATTTTAATTTCCTACAATGTCCCACTGTGCACAACCCTCGAGGTTTGGTAAAGTCACAGAGACACCAGTTTTCTTCTGCTCACACGAGCACAAGAGATGAGCAGACTACTTATGACTTATTCGACCTCAGTGGGAACATCAGCATTTAGAGTAGTGGGCCCCTCCACAACCCCAGACAGCACTGTACCACGCTCAGACCACCCTTACTCCCAGAGCTGATGGTCTCCTCAGAGAACCCCCAAGCAGTGCTGCACCGCGCTAACGTGACGAGGATTGAAATGCAAGCATCAACTCGCACCCTACGATCCAGGCTCTGGGCCCAGGTCTACCAGCCTGTAACACCATGGAATTCCTTGATTCTGTTTATGCAAGAGCATTTGGAGGGGAAGCACCTTCCTCAGCTCTCTGGCAGGAATCATTTACTAGTGCTGACCAAAGTTCACCCTAATGTATATAAAATGCTCTTTCATTGCCGCGTCAGCAGGAGACTTCTGAAGTTTTTGTCTTCTCCTATGCAGTGAAAAAGGCCAGAGCAGCCTGCCCCACACCGGACCACACTATGAGCAGGCTGTGAAGGTCCCAGCAGAGGCCACATCAGCAGCACTGGGCTGAGATCTAGACACAGTCCAGATCTCTTCCCCTTCCTCATGACTGGGGCCAGGGGTCGACTCCATGTGGGGAAATACGAGGGACGGAAAAGGAATGGGAGGGATCCTGAGTGACTCCCTGGAGTAGCCAGTGTGGCCTACTGCTAGCGTCACACGTAGAAGAGAAGGATCCCTCCCTGAACACTCCATGACAGTGTCAGGCAGGCAGCGGGAAGGCCTTCGGGGGCAGAAAGTCCATAGTAAGAAGGGCCTGCAGGAAGCAGAACGGAGCGCACAGTATACCCAGGCCCTGCAGTGAGAGCAGCCAATAACTCTGCTCATCCTCCAGACTCCCCGAAACCAGACGTCAGCTTCACCCTCTCCTCAAGTCAGCCAGGGAGTGGGTGAGTGAGGGTCCCTCCACACCAGCGTAAGCTGAGAGATTTGGGGTGCTGCTTGGCACAGACGAAACACAGCGTGGAGTCCTTTGCTTGGGTGGCACCCATGGTACCTGCCAACTTCATTACCTGTCTGTGATCTGCCCAGGTACTACTCACTTCTCTGTTCAACACGAGTGTCTTCCACCTGTCCCTCTCCAACATACGAGCACAATTCCCTGAAGGGCAGGAGACAGCCAAGAGCCTTAGGGACCCTCCCCAACACTACCAAGCACAAGGATGATCCTATTCTGCACAGAATAGATGGGAAGCCAGGCCTCCGAATTAATGAAAAGCAGTTTGTTTCTATTTTCACTATTGAGACTTTGGGGGAATTATTAACTTAAATTTTTCTCCCTTATCTGTAACCTGGCCATAATAATAGATGGATGCATCTTGTGGAGTAAAGTTTAGCACAGCACCTGACACAGAGGAAGCACCCAACAAATGCCCCCTTCCTGTCCCAGCCCATCCTCCCAGACAGAAACCCAGGCAGCCTAGAAATGGTGAGGCTGCCTATAGGAATGGAAAAGAGAGCTGGCGTCGGGCAGGCTGAGTAGGGAGGATGGAAAATAACCTCCCCAGCTCAGGACTGCCCCACACAGCAAAGGATATTCCCACCAAATCAACAACAGTACTTCCACTGAAAAATGCAGACTACTTGGAAAATATCTGCAGACAGGGACAGCAGTCATTCCAACAGCAAACAGGTCAGAGCTGCAAGTGATCACAATCAGGAAATCACCAATACCTCCTAATGGCTTCAGGTGGCTCCATGTAGAAGGGAATCTGGCTGGCAGAGGCCAGCGTGTCTCTCAGGGCCTCGCTGACCTCCTGCAGCTGGTCCCGGGGCAGCTGGACCACCAGTGGCGCCAGGCCACAGCCCTGCCACTGGAGTTCTCTCTCCTGTTCCTCTATCTCCCTCCTCAGCTGCTGATCTTTGGCCTCCAGCACAGACATCCTCTCTTCGAGAGCTTCTACTTCTTTCTGCAGAAAATGTGAAGAGACTTGATTAACACACCTTCCCCAGCACCCTGCCCTGCTGATTATGGCTGTAAGGAGACGGGCCGTATGCACCAGGCTGTGCAGGGCCCTGTGAGGCAGGCAGGTCTGGAGGAGTTGGCTGAACTGGAAAACTTATGCCAGCTTTATAATTCTGATGATTTGGCAGGAAGAAAAATATTCCTTTCCAAGCATTAAATAACTGTGGAGGGTTGGACTGGGAAAAACCAGCGAGTAACAAATAACTAGTTTCGCTTCAGATGGACCCCAAGGTCACAGGCAGCACATACCGGGCACTGAGATTCATGCCACTGACCAAGACAAGACACGGCTGGTCTGTTCCCAAGCATGAGAATTTAGACTGTAGAGACTGACTGAAATCCTGGCTGATCAGACCTACAGGATGGAGAGAACAGTGAGCTGCTGCACAGTATCCTGGTGTTGGAAGTTCATAAAAATATTAAAGGACTTTAATTTCTACTGACATAGCAAACCAAAATCCAAATCACCCACACCTATCATCCAGTCTTGAGATCAATGAATAAACAAGCAGCAGGCAACTGGAAACCAGCATGCGCACAGTGCTTGGGCAGATAATCGTCTCACCACACAGAGGACTCGGAATTAGGAGCTCACTCCGTCAATGAACTTGCCTGTGTTCTGTCGTTGTTCCTGGCTGATAAGAGCCCGCAGCCCTGATCCTGCATCTCCCACACACCTGCACATGCTCTCTTCACGCTGAGGTCTCAGTTCCCTCTGGAGGTGAGAGGGACGATGGGGCACTAAAGCTCTGCTGCTGGGCCATCCTAAAGAAAACAATGCCATGGCTTCCGGGGGCCTCAGTTGCAGCACAGCTGGCCAGGTCCCTCAGCCAACCTCCCAGCTCCCACCTCTGGACCCTTTCCCTCCCTCCTTTCCTTTCTTTTCCCCTTCCCGTTTTCCCCTCCTTCTCTTCCTTCCCTCCTTCTTCCTTCCTTCCTACCACCTTCCTTTGTTTGTTCTCTTCCTCAGTCTGTCTAGACTGCACTAAAATGCACATGATGTAAAATGTACCATCTTAAACACTCTTAAACACACAGATCGGTGGCATTCAGTCTCCTTGTGCCACCATCACCACGATCCATCCGTAGAACTCTCCTCTTCCCCAAATGGAACCTGCACCTGTCAGACACCATCCCTTCCCTGACCCGGATCCACTGTCCTACTTTGAATGTCTGTGAGCCTGACTCTAGGGACCTCCATGAGTGTAAACCTACAGTATTCGGGAAAGCCTTATTTGGTATCATGTCCTCAAGGGTCAGCCACATTGTAGCCTGCATCAGAATGCCCCTCCTTTCTAGGGCTGAGCAGTGTACCTCTGAATGTGGCCTCCTACCACAGTTCAGTTATCCATTCATCCACAGATGGCCACTTGGGTCAATACCACCTTTGGTTATCGTGAGCAATGCTGCTGTGGCCATAAGTGTGCCACATCCACATTTCAATTTTTTTCATCTGTCCCCAGAGTGCAACTGCTGGATCACATGTGAGTCTACTTTTAATTTCTTGAGGAAGCCACAAACTATTCTCCACAGTGGTCCTATAACCTATTCAAACACAGCAAAGTGATTCTTTCAAGTGTAGTCAGGCCAGCTGTGATGGTGCATATCTGTGATCACAGCACTCTGGGAGGCTGAGGCAGGAGGGCTGGAATTTCAAGCCCAGCCTGGGCAGCATAATGATAATAAGGCCCTGTCTCAAAAAAATTTTTTAAATTCTTTTTAGAAACAGGGTCTTGCTGTGTAGTCCAGGCTGGCCTTGAGCTCACTATGCAGCCTAGGCTGGCCTCAAACTCAAGGCAATCCTCCTGCCTCAGCCTCCTAAGTGCTGGGAGTACAGCTGTGCAGTACCACATCCAGCTTTAAAAAAAAAAATTGCTTTTAAAAGGAGAATGTAGCTCAGTGCAAAGGCCTTGTCAATCCTCAGCACCGCAAACAATAAAAATAAAGTGTGCTCAGATCATGTCATTTCATACTTAAAATCCTCACTGTCTCCCCTTTACACCCAGGGAAAAACCTGGGCCCTTTACCTCTGACCTCCTCCCTTCCTTTCTGCACGAGCACTGCCCTTACTGCTTCAGCACTGCCTCGGCACTACACCAACCTCCGGCCCACACAGGGCTGTCCCCTGCCTGGCTGCTGCCCAAGACGTGTACAGCGCCTGCCCTCTGCTCAGTTCTGCTCTTCACCCATCTCCCTGGCCTGCACACTGAGGCTTGCACCACCTCCAATCCACCAGTCCTCTGACTTGGAGTCTTAGGACGTTTGCCACCTGTCTCCCGACTGCCACCCTGGAGAATGCTCCGTGGAGATCCTGAGCCTTCAAATGGCATCTGACCCAGTCGGACCTGCAGGAAGGCCTACGGGATGGACAAGCACCTCTCTGTAGAGTGCCGCTAGCACTGAGCTGCAGCACAGAGTCCTTCTAGCACTAAGCGCCAGCACCCAGCGATGCACACGGTACTTCTAGCACTGAGTACCAGCACTTAAAGCTTTTTGCACTCTGACATTCTCAGGAGTTGAGGGAAATATTGCTAGAACTCATAGCCAGATTCCACACTGCCTGCTGCTGACTGCAGACCTGAGTGTTCAGTTTGTCTGGGGATATTCCCAGATTGTGATGATTCTCGCTTCCTTTTGCCAGCTTACTACTGTAGCCACTGGAGTGGGGCAAATAGCTGGTGAAAATGCTCTGCCTGGGTTCATTGGCTACTTACAGCCTGCACCATGCTTTGGACTTGGGTCCAAGACCCTGCTCTCCCCTGAAGCCGCTGCCACTCACCAGCATTCCTCAGTGCTCCACCTCCCACCCCCTTCTAGTGTCAGCTCAAGCAGTAGGGACCTCACTCCACCCTGGGCTGCCCTGTCCCTCTTCCAGGCTCCTCACTGGTTTCTGGCTTTACCTTCGTGCTATACCCAGATTCCAACCCCAGATGACTCTGGCAGTTGTCAGCGCTGCCACACTGAGCCTTCCACTCAGCCCCCCAGTCACCCATCCTGCCCATGCAGACTGGTGACTGCCTGTGGGCGGTCTCTGCCTTCCAAGGGAAGCGTCCAAAGGTCAAATGAAGGCAAATAAGGCAAGTCTTGCCCTCATTTGTGACAAGATTCCCACAAGCCATCCAACTACTGCCACCCTCTCCTTTGGCAAAGCACAGATCCACTTTGCCACGTTTGGCTTCAGAGCATGAGAACCACCAACTCCAATCGCAACATCTGTTCCCTCCTCACCTGCAACTGCTGCTTCTCCTGGAGAAGACAATGCCGCCTTCCAAGGGCTTCATGCAGGCTGTCCTGGGTGATGGGCTCTGACTTGCTTCCAAGTGGGCCTGGGGCACCGTCACTGCTGGCCCTTAAAAGAGCACATACGTTACGTGAGGCTACAGTGAGAACCAGTGCACTACGGAAACCTGTGAGGAACATATACATACATATTGGTACAAGGGTAGACAGCCTACAGAAATTTTCAATTAGAAATTTCACAAAGTGGCCCCCAGCCCTTCTGATCCTCAGGAAGATCACTGGCACAAGGTCCTAATGGGCGTTTCTATTTTGATTATAGTCTGTTGGGGCTTTGGGTTTTTCCCCAGCCAAATTTCTTCTGTGGGACCTGTACTTTCCCATAAGGCCACATGTGGCTGTTGAACACATGACACATGGTGAGCACAAACTGAAGTGAGCTAAATAAGTACAAAATACACATCTGATTTTAAAAACTGTATGAAAACAAAAAGTGCAAGATAATGCATTAGTGATATTTTTATGTTCATTATACTTTGAGTAATAATATTTTGGAAATACTAGGTTGGATTAAATATATTGTTAAAATTAATATTGCCAACTGTGAAGGTACACACCTGTAATCCCAGCACTCTGGGAGGCTGAGACAGGGGATCCAAGTTCAAGCCCACCCTGGGCAACTAATTTAAAACTTAGCAAGACTCTGTCTCAAAGTAAAAAATAAAAATAAAAAAAAGGGCTGTGGATGTATCTCTGTGTGAAGGTCCTAGGTTCAATCTCCACTATATTGCCAAAAAAGTTAATTTTTAATTAATTTCACCTGTTTCCTACTCTTTTTAATAGCACAACTAGATCAATTGAAGTCACATGTAAGACTCACATTCTACTGCACAGGGCACGCTGTCTTGGGTCACAGTACAGAGCAAATCCCAGGGCTGCTCTTGGAGGAGGAGACCCAAGGGAGCCAAGGCTGACTTACAGACACTTGGGCCACGGGTCCTCAGAAGAGTGTACTGGAAGACCAGCTAAGGCCACTCGAGACCTGTTTGGCTCCCTCTGCCATTCTTGCAGGAGTCCACACACTTGGTGGCGTGATGCTGAGGACACACGGCATAGGACCGACCCTTGTGCAGACCAGCAGCCCTCACCCCAAGTCTGGTAGGTGTTTACCTCCAAAGCAGAATGAATTCAGCCTAGAGTATCTGACTTCTGCCTCAGTGCTGAAATAACTGGATACTCAGAAAGAGTTCTGCCAAGTCACGAAGGCAAAGACAAGCACACCGATGAGATATTCCGAAAGAGAAATGACAGAGTTAAAGAAAGTGCGTATCATCGAAAGGGTTTTAAATGCAGATCCAAACACCTAACAAATTAGCAAATGTTTTCATAAACCATAGTTCTCTGGTGAGAGTAGAGAATGAGACTTAAATTTTACTATAAGGTTGGGTTCTATATCCTCCTCCCAAGGAGTGCACATAGATAACACAGCTGTACATAAAGATTATCTACAAGTACATTTGAAAACACCTTCTCCATGGGGCCACCTGAGGATACTGCCATACCCCACGGCACAGTTCTAGGGGTGGCAGCAGTCTCTGAAACTAGGTCACAGGAGACGTGGCAGCATGAGGGTAACTGTTTACTTTTTCCTACAGCAGGTTTCATGCCAATAGGTACAAAGTGAACCAAATCCTATACAAAAAAAATGTTTATAAAATAAAAAAGGGAAAATATCCGCCAACGTACTGTCAGCTCTTCCCTTTGGGTGGTGGGATTAATTCTTACGGCTAATCTTTTCTAAAGATTAGTGTAGTGCGCTTGTATTATTTTTATAACAATAATGTCTTAAATGTTTTCCACCATATATACTAAGTAGCTGCACTATTGACTTCAGTATTTCAATACAGCCAACCTGTCCACGGCTCTCAGACGTGTCAGAGTTTTTAAAACCCATAGTTACCTTAATCCTCAAGGGCAGAGAAGATACATGTGGCTTCAGGCGGTTTGAAGCACAAACTCATGACCTGAGAAGGCCTCTTCAAGCCTCCCCTGTGCCCGCACAGCTGCACCTTGCCTGCCATGTCCAGCTTCCTTCCAGGCTCATGGAGGGGAAACGGGAAGTTGCAGAGTCTTGCTTCTGGCCTATTTCTTGAATAAGGTGGATTTGGGTTTGGTTTGTCCCCACCAGTGTAAATGTGGTGATGCCTCGACACTGCTGAAGAGAGATTTATGTTTTTCTTAGGGGAGTGAATCACTGCTCTCCTGGGACTGTTATGCCGAGAGTGGGGTGCTGTCCTGTCCTGTCCTGTCCCGTCCACTGCTGTCTGCTGCTCATCCCCACCTCTCCTTTACTTCCCCTCCATACTGTGATGCAATGCATTCAGGGGTCACCACCCCAGAGTGGCACTGTGCTGTTTGGACCCTCTAGGCCCCAGAATAGTGAACCAAATAAGCCTCTTCCTTGATGCACGACAGAGCTCCAGGTACTCTCTTATAGGAATACAAAAGAAACTGAGACAGTGAGTAACTGATCCTCAGATATGCTGTGCTGTTTAGCTCCATCCCCTTCTACCCAACCACATATATTCATATATTTGTTAAGAAAAAAGAAAAGACATTACCATGTTCACTGTTATGGTTTGATCTAAAATGTCCCCATAGAAGCTCAGGCTCTCAGAGATGGGACTTTTGGAAGGTGACTGGGGTGCTATACTCAATAGTGCATTCATCTATGGATGGGTTAATAGCTGCTAGGAGGTGGGGTTTGGCAGGAGGAGGCAGGTCACAGGGGTATGACCTGGAAGGGTATAGTCTTCTCCCTCGCCCCTTCCTATCTCCCTGGCTCTGCCCCCCCACCCTCCTTCCTTCTGCCAAGAGTTGAACAACTTTGCTCCACTGTGCCTGTTCACCATGCTATTTCTGCCTTTTAGCCAGAAACCATAGACTGAGCCCTGTGAAACCATGAGTCAGAATACTGTGGTGTGTACAAATATTTTGTCCCAGCAAAAGAAAGCTCATTAATATACCCACCTACTGCATGCTAAGAATTGTGCTTGCTGCTGGGAGACACAACAGTAAATAGCTTGGTTCCTTTGTGAGCAGGGAAACATATTTCACCAGAAAATTACCCAGCATGGAGACATGCTTCATGCAAGGAACAAACCCAAGACCGCAGAGTTAAGGAATCTTCTGCTCCAGCCTTAACATGGCACTTAGAAAACAGCTGAGCCTCCAACCCTGTGTAAGGCAGCTGCCCCAGACTTTCAGAAACAATACTAGCAGATATGTTACCTCCAATTCTGGCAGTCTGAAAACAGCGACTAGAGAGATAAGGAAGTTAACTTTTCTGATTCGAATTCAGATTCCATGGTGTGACCATTAACCATGATAGTCAACCTGACCGGATTAGGGAATGCCTAGCAGATTAGTAAAGCACACTTCTGGGTGCATCTGAGGGGTGTTTCCTGTGATGACTGTCCTATAAGCCAGCAAATTTAGTGGAGAGAGAGCACCCCAGTTGTGGATTGTGCCATCCAATAGGCTCCTGGCCTAGATGGAATAAAAGAGAAAGAAGTTGGCATGTTTGGGGGGAGCTCCCATCTGCTTGAGCAGGTATACCCTTGGCTTTGGGGTGTTACCTTTCAGATTCCAGTCTTCAGCCTTCCAAAGCAGACTCATACCAGCGACTCTGCAAGGAGCTTCCGGGACGCCAACCTCAGACTACACTGCATCCTTGACCCCTCTTGTTCTGTGGCTTCCTTCTTCTTGGGCTGAGCAGCTACTGAATCCTCCAGCTCTCTGCAGATATCCACTGTGGGCTCTCCTGCCTCTGAGCCTCGATGCCTACCTCACAAATCTCCTTGCATGATTACACATCTATTTTCTGTCAATTCTGTTCCTCTAGAGAACCCTGACTAATAAACCTGGATAACCCTGAAAATCACTTACTAACTATAACGTACCATGCAATATAGAAGTTTCTTCCCTGTTTCATGTGCTCACAGGCAAATAATAATAGTAGTATTAACAGAAAAACATTTGAACTCAGAATAGAACTAACTTCTTTGAATTGAGAATGCACCGCACACATTACTGTTTTCATCATAGAGCTAACATAAGGTGTTATTATCAACCTTATGAGTGAAGAAACAGCATCTTGGAGAGAAAGAGGAACTCACTGGTGGCCACAGACAGAGCAAGAAGCAATACTCAGGAGTCAGTGCAGACCAGGCTGCTGCCCACCACCCCATTTCCAGCGCTTTCCAGATGCTACACCATACTGCTTGTCACCAGGCTCAGCAGCCCATTTCCCTTGCTTCTAACCACATTCCTTCCATGACTGGGGGGCAAGTCCCCTCACCAGCTACTCCTAGGCAGCAGTTTCTTTGAGCCCAACCCATGGGGGTCAAGGTCACAGCTGGGCCACAGTTCTGCTTTTCTCTGGCCACATCCTTGGATTTACTCAAGCCATCTGACCCTTACTGTCTAACTTTTACAGTGAGGATGAGGGTGGTGACCATGGTGACAATAATGCCTTGTGCCCATACTGACATGAGGATTCTATTAATATAGCACATGACCATGGAGCACCTACCATGTGCAGGACACACAGACACAATGGGGCCATTGGAGCAAGGAGAGAGAGCACCTCTGTCCTAGCTACTGACCTCCCAAAGTCAACATTTTTGCCTCAGGAAGATGAGCACCAGATTCATGCCTGGTGGACACACTGTCCTACATGGGACAATGAGGACAAAAAGTGCCATGTTTGTGAGGGTCTTTGCATGCATCATGCTTCTAAGCCCTCTTGGGTCACCAATGTCTCTGAGAAGAGGATGCACTTCCTCCCTGGGCTTCAGAGTTACATCATGAGTTCATCACTTTGGACCATGAGCCTTGGAAGGTATCTGAGTTCATTTCACTCAGGGAACTTAGCAAATATCTGTTGGATGACAATGAGTCCATCGCCTAGAAAATCTAAAAGTCATTTATATTCAGTTTCCTATTGCATTAAATCATTTCTTTGCACTCATTTATTTCCCAATTTGCTCTGCTTATGCTAATATTAAGAGTTTCCTGAATTTCCTAAATAGATACCATCTGGGTCGGGAT